CTTTCCTCTGCTCCCCCCTTTTGAACGCGGTGCTCTCCCCCTGACGTCAGGGACACATTCTGGTATTGCCCTAAGCCCGCGTGTGGCCCCGCCCCCGCTTCCCAGGACTCTGCCCCCCTGCATGCCGCTCAGTTGGGCGGCCGCATGGGAGCAAGCGTCACAGACCACTGTCAGAACGCTGTGCTCCCCGTCACAGAAGCAAACATGCCATCCTGGTCATCCCATTCTCCAGGTGGTGCGCACCTGCACGGTGGGGGTCACGTGGTGGGGTGGCGAGTCCCTTTTTTGTCCGGCGAGTAGGGTTTTCTATAATTTGTCGAGCCCTGGACATAACTGTATGCCATTTTACGATATTATCTACTTTGGCCTATCAGAAATTCTTCCCTTAATACTACCACTACACTTCAGCTTCAAAAACTTCAAAACTGCCCTAGCATGTAACAGAGCACGTAACCTCCATGTATTTGCAGGTATTAAAATATAAATCAGTACGTAAATCGAAGAGATTAGCATCTAAACGTCATTCAACATTGCCGTTTGAATTCCACCTCCACTGTACGAATGGAATTCACAAATGATTGTTCAAGAACATTGACAATGGTCAGGTTCATAACGAAGTAGATTTACACACCTCCAAAACGAACTCTTAATAAGTAACCACATATACTATTCAATACAAACAATGGACCAAATTTTGTTCTCAGCTAAATCAATGCAACCCCATTTATTTGCAGCATGAATGCAGTTGCACAAGCATAATTCAGAAATACTATGGTTTCAATCACTTCTCACTGACTTTGAAAAGCCACATTCAAATAACTTTTATAGCAAAAGAAAATAGTTTACCATAAGGATTTATAATAGTATCCTGAAATAGTGCTACAGTATAGACGTACCCTTAAAGTGCAGCCATAGCAGTTCTTTAAGGCAGCAGCATGGCCATAGCAGGAGCACAAGGAGAGAGATCTCCCAGCATTTTATGTAAACCACTTCCACAAGGAGAGTATCTAAAAGTGCTGGGAGTCCATTTACGCTGGTGGTTTCGAGTGCTTAACTCGCTATACTTAGGGGGTGTTTTTTCACACCTCTGAGCCAGAAAAAACTGCAAGTAAAGTGATAATGTAGACTTAGCCTCTAAGAAAGTGAATGCATACAGCACAACTCTGCTTTTACTGGGGAGAGGGTGAATTAAGAATATGTCATTTGCTTACATCAGCAAATTATACTACCATCCTTATTGAAGTGACCACCCATACTAATATTCCAGAGAGCTACAGAATCCTAACAACTTCTCTACAGAATCCTAATGCAATAGCAGATACTAACTAAACAACAAAGCCGGATATGTGAATAAACATTATTGACCTAGAGTGCTTCATTAGGACACTGTGTATGCAGAAATTACAAATTGCTAGAAATGCAGACTGACTATCCCAAGAACCATTTTTCACAACTATTTTTTCAAAAAACAAGTTTGCTCTTTCAAGGGGAAAATTTCTAAGTAATTCAAGAATTATCTTCTCTAATTTTCCTTAACACAGATAAAGGGCACAACAAGTACTTATGAAATCATCTTCCTTGTTTACCACAATTATGTTATGGAACAATCCAAGAAATAAACATCTGATCAGGAACACTTGATGCCAAGTGGCAGAGGCACAGGGCTGTAAAGGGAGCCCATGGATCAGATAACTGCATAGCAGATCAATAAAGGGTGGTTTATGAATTCTCTACCAAGAGCCAAGTAACCTACTGGTAGTCAGAATCATTACAAAATGTGTGTACAAATAATATGTAAGTAGTTTTGTATCTATACTGAAAATTATGTTCTTAATAGGGTTGCCAGATGGTTTCAACAAAAATACTGGACACACTTGACATTACATTACAATCTACATTACATCCTATTTAGAAAATACCGGACATTTATATTTTCTCAATTTGTTTCCCGAACAGAAAGCTCAAATACTGGACTGTCCAGTTCAAAACTGGACACCTGGCAACCCTAGTTCTTAAGGTCTTGCAGTTCAGGGAAGTCACCAGGAGGTGACATAATTTGATGCTTCTTTTAGGCAGGTAATGACACCCTGACCATTTCTGTATGCCTCACAATGATGCCTGTTTATTTGCATATTAGCCAGATGTAAATAAAGCGATTGGAAGTCTACAGGAAGACACAGACAGCTGGTGAGGTGGGAGGAGGTGGTGTCCTCTTTATGAATAAAGACAAAGGATTGATCTGATACATCTGGAATACAAAGAGAAGACACAGAATCCTTCATCTGGGGCACAAACTGATAGCATGTTTGTCTCATGAAAGGAGGATCATAGCCAGGTTGGCTATAAAGAGCGAAAAGGATTCTACATGAGCAATACTCTACCAGACATGAATATCTTGTTAATTAATTCTAGGACCCACAATGTGTATGATGATCATTTTATAAATAGTATAAAATGCCAGTATTTGAATTGCTAAGCTTAGTGAAATCAGGTATATGTTTATTAAACAATCTAGAAACATATGTAAATGCAAATGTTAAATGGAGTGGTAATCTGAGATTGAACTGGCAAGCTTAGTTGTACGGTTTCTTTGGAATACTGTGAGTGTCCAATGGACAGGGACTGAACTCTCCAGGTTGAGGTGTGTGCCAATCACTAACAGAGAGTAGACAGCTGGACCTGCAAGCTCTGGGGAGTGCTTATGTTGCCCGTGATTGGTGGAGTCAGGGAGCGGACTCGTGGCAGGCATGGGCAAAGCTTCTTCAAGCTAAGGACGGGTAATAGCAAGGGTACCTCACACAACCCTGGGTACCTTCAGGAAGCATCTCGATGTCCCTCTGCATAAAACAAGTGAGGAAAACCTCACTTAGTCTAAGGGTCATTTAAGATAGAAACAATGAAAGTCATGAGAGCTGGACACCTGAAAGACGTTTGGTATCAGAAATCAAAGATAGCTCTTGTAGATTTGGCACTACAATGTGTCAATAGAGAATGAAATCAAAGGCACTGTAAAAACAACAAACAAAAAAACAAAACACAGGGTTGATACTAAATACATACTTAATCTGACTGGCAACTAAATCATAATATGTATATATATGCTCTGTACACTTTGAAGATGAAATCTGAAACTGGGAGATGCAAAAAAGATTTCAAGCTATAGAAAAACTAGAGTCAGGGATCTCTATTTCACTGATAAGCCCCCAAACACACACATCACTGCATAAATAATAGCAGCAGGCTGACATAATAATGATTGGGGTTTTTTTCATATACTGTGGAAAACCTATTTAACTCTTAAAATGGATCATGGTGGAAAAATGTGAGAAAGAAGCAGAACCACCACCTGCAACTACCAAAAACTAGAACGTAGAGGCTACAAAATCTTAGCAATTCCCAAAATGTACCAGAACAAGAACTAAACGAGAGATACTATTAAAACAACTAAAGAGCAATAAGCTAATCTTCTCTCATACTGCTGAGTGCTGGCTCCTGGCGATCAGGGAGGCAGGCTGCCAGTCCTGCTCCCAAGGAGCTGGCTGCACTGCGGGCTCTGAAATATAAGCTTTATACTGCAGAGCTCGCAGTGTGTAACCATGTAACCACTAAGATTTTTAACAGTTACATAGTTACCTAATAAACTGCTTTTTAACATCCCTATTTGCAATTATACCTGAAACCGTGATGTAGAACATCCCATACCTGACTGAAAAAGGACATTAGCAGAAGTGTTAATGCAAAAACAATAACTACCATATTATTTTACAGCTTGGACAGCTCCATTGGTAGAAATATTTTTATTTTACTGTTTATTATAAATCTATTTTTTGTTGTTGTTTCCACACAACATAACAGAAGGAGAGTAGCAGAAGGCAGCCAATCCCAGACTAGCCCCATGGGCCAATTCCACACTAATTAGTAATAATTAGTCCATTGTAATGGTAGTGGCCTGATGTTCTTCAGTGAAACAGCTTCTCTGTTCTATGTTGATAGAGGTAAATTAATTATATTATTCCTCAATGACATGTTTGGAACATGAGGGTGATAAAATCAGCCATTAGAAACTGTGAGCATCAAAGAAAAAGGAGATACAGAACTAAGTATTTTATGTCATTGTGCAACCAAGGCTGTTTCTGGACAGGGGAACAAGAAATATCTGTCCATAATCATTTTTCTCAGTAAACTAAAAAACTGATGACACTCCTTAACTATGATAGCCTATTCTTTCACTCAGAGTCAGAAGCTTTAGCAGCTCCACCCAAAGTGAAAATTTTGCAAGAATAAAAGGGAATGGTCATAAGTGTCCTTAAATAACCTAAGTGTGTGCACCAGGCAAACAAATACAATAGTCTTACTGATCATGTGTAAGTTCAGAATAAATAAAATCATTAGGACACACAAAAGCCTCATGTCAATACATCTGTATATCTAGTCAAGGAGAAATGCTTCTATTTCAATGTATGCTCTTTTTTTAAAAATAATACAAAAAATTAAGGATCTAAAACAGTTTGATGGTTTCTTCATGAATCAGTTTCAGTCTTCAAACTAGATCTGCTGATTGTGCATTTGAAACTGGAAAAAAGAAGTCTACAATTTTCAAAATGTTCTTATAAGCAAGTAAAGTACCTTTGAAATGTACAAAGTGACATGGGTCTCTTGAAAAGAGGCACCAGTACCTTATATCTGATTATATTTGGGCACCTGGCATTGACCCATGTCAAAAGACTGGATACTCGGCTAATGGACCTTTGGTCAGATCCAATACGGTTATTAACATGAGTTCACACAGGAAACCCAATTAAAATCAATAAAGTAAGATTAACTTCACATATGCCCACGCTGTGGATGGAAAAGGGCTAGGAGATATAATTAAATTAAAGGTTTTAAAGAACAGGACTAACATTTTGGTTTTCTAGTGGATCACTATTACTATTCTTGGTAATAATTAACTAGTTTAACATCTAGGCAAGGTACTTTGAAAGTCTTACATTTAAACTCACCTGATTCATTTTGAATTCCTGTTGTGTTCTGAAAAGATACACACAACAAAGAAACTCCTTTGATTACATGAGTCCTAAAAAGAAAAACAGACAATTGTAATACACGCCTACCTACAGTGGTTTGAAACTACACAAAGATCTGAAGAGTTCTATTTAAAAGGGGCTTACCAAAAAGAAGCTTATTACTTTGTACCAAATCTACTTCAGGCTATAAAACTGTCATTATAACTTATTCAAATTTAACTTTAAAACCCAAAAACTGACCTTTCTTCAGCATCTTTTAAAACCGATACACACTGTATTTGGTTGACTGGTATTGATTTATCAGTTTTTAAAAAAACTGAAGTCAGTTGATTTTGCAATACAAAACACTTCTGAAGAATTAGTCTAATTCAGTGATCTATTTTAAACTACACAGTCATAATGCTTGCCCCCACAGGTTTAAAGACATTTGAAAGGACTTTGCTGCATGATTCTTGTTGATAATGGAAACCGTGCAGCTAAATCTCAACTTACCACATCTAAAACAGAGAGGTTTTTACTTGAAATTCAGCCTACATTTCACTAACATGCTTATAGATATTCTTTTATTGCAGGGGTCTCAAACTCAATTTACCTTAAGGCCCATGCCAGTCGTCATATCCTCCCAGTGGACCAGCAGGCACCCAGGTGAGGTGTGTCCGTGCACTCCCTCAGCCCCGCCTACTGCCACAGGGCAATTTAACCCCCTTCTCTGGGGGCCCTTGGCACCACAACCATTAGCACAGCGGGGCTAGAGTGGCTTGCAGCTCCTAGCTCTGCACTACTGCCAGCACATCCCTGTGGACCAGGGGAAGTGTGTGTGCGCAGAGCCACCCTCAACCCCATGCTTTGGGAACCCCCGGAGCAACCACCCAAAACACCCTATAAACAGAATGGTCCCCCAAGACTCAGCTGCAGGCCCCAGGGCAGGCTGGGGAGGGAGGGTGGAGCCACAAGAAAGCGGAGCTGCCTTTGCTCTGCTTCGCCACCATCCCTCAGGCCAGCCCATGTTGGGACGGGGCCAGGGGCGCTGTGCTTCCTGCTGCTGTGGTGAAGCGGAGCAACCTGGGTGGCCTGGGAGACAGCGGTGGAGCAGAGGCTGCTGCATCGCTCTGCTTCCCCTCAGCTCCCATCACTGCAGTGAGTGCAGGAGGCCCCCCCCCCCCAGGGCCCTGGGGCCACTCAGGGGAGGGGGCCTTAAGGGGAAGGACATGATGGGAGGGCAGAGCAGGGGTGGGAAGAGGTAGGGTGGAGTAGGGGCTAGACTTGGGGGGGAGGAAAGGTACAAACAATACACCCAGGGACTCTCGTGCCAGCAGCCGTGTGCAGGCCAGATTGTAGAACTGTTGAGACCACAGATGGCCCACAGGCTGTGAGTTTGAGACCCCTGTTTTATTGCATACTAGCATTTAAAAAAAATAGATAAAGTGCCAGATTTGAAAAAGCTTGTTTCCATAAATATTACACAGCTTTAAATTAAATTTGGGGATCTAATGACGTGTGTCTACATTTACCAAGCAAACACTACACCTTTAGACTAAGTATTTGCTGCTATTTATGTACAAGAAAGCATTATTGAAAGCTGAATTATAAACATAACACTAAAATTGTTTAGCACCAGGCAGTAACTTAAATATACTGTACCACATTATTTCTCTTGGAGATTAACTGGTGTCTACATGGTTAGTGTATTTTATGGAAGTATGGATTTTCCTTTATTTTCCTGGCTTCAGTTTCTTAAATAAGATAACAATTACTAATATACTACCAATGCATGTTTTCAAACAGTTGGGCTAAATAATGTTAAAATTGCAATTAAAATGTGTTCTAAGACAACACTCAGAGTAGGTTACCGATAATTCCTCACTTCTCTAAATTAGACCAAAATCGAAAAGTCTTATAACAATATAGCAGGTATTGTCATGTATGTGCCCATAATGATTTCTTAAGAACAGAGGATCACATCGCTCTCTATATATAAAATATTGTTTCTTGCAGGATGACAGAGTGATGTCATCTCGTCAATCTGGGTCCCGCCTCCCTCCCCTCTCCCCTTTCCCCAGTGCTCGGGAGTCGGTGCTTTGGAGGAGGGACCCAGGGCTGCCGCACTATGGCCTCGAGCCTCCCCAGCCGCCAGATGGAG